ATCTGTTAGCCTGTGTCTTTTTATAGGTGAGTTGAGTCCATTTACATTAAGGGATACTAATGACCGGTAATTGCTATCTCCTGTTAATTTAGTTTTCATTGTTGGTGATGTTAATTTTTGCATTTTCCCCTTTTTTGGGATTTGCTGCTATGAAACCATCAATTGTCTGTGCTTTTGTTGGTGTACCCAACTTCCTTGGGTTAGAGTTTTCCTTCTATTATTTTGTATAGGGCTGGGTTTGTGGCTAGGTATTGGTGAAATCTAGTTTTGTCATAAAAATACCTTATTTTGTCATTCTATGGTGATTGAAAGTATTGCTGGGTATAGTAGTCTTTGCTGGCATCCGTGGTCTCTTAATGTCTACATAATGCTTGATCATGACCTTCTGGCTTTCATTGACTTCAATGAGAAGTCAGGTACAATTCTGATAGGTCTACCTTCATATGTTCCTTGGCCTTTTTTCCTTTGTAGCTCTTAATATTCTTTTTTTACTCTGTATGTTTAGTGTTTTGATTATTATATGGCGATAGGACTTTTTTTTTTTTTTGGATCCAGTCTATTTGGTGTTCTGTAACCTTCTTATATCTTCATAGGCATGTCTTTCTTTAGGTTGGGAAAGTTTTCTTCTATGATTTTAAGTATATTTTCTATGCTATTGAGTTGAAATTCTTCCCCTCCTTTTATACCCATTATTCTTACATTTGGCTTTTTCATGGTGTCTCATATTTCCTGGATATTTTGGGTTAATCTTTTGTTAGATTTAATGTTTTCTTTTACTGATCAATCTATTTCCTCTATTGTTTCTTCAGCGCTTGAGATTCTCTCTTCCATCTCTTGTATTCTGCTGTTCATGCTTGTGTTTGTGGTTCCTGATCATTTTCTCATGATTTCTGTTTCTATAATTCCCTTGGCTTGTGTTTTCCTTATTGTCTCTATTCCAGTTTTCAAGTCCAAATAGTTTCTTTCATATGTTTGATTTCTTTTTCTTGTTTTTCTTTATGTGATTTGTTGATGTCTTCCAATATTTTGTTTGTCTTTTCCTCCATTTTTTAAGGGAATTTCTCATTTCCTCTTTAAGAGTTTCAAACATTCTCTTGAAGTTATTTTTTAGGTCATTTTCTTCTGCCTCATCCATATTTGGTTGTTCAGGTCTTGCTATTGTAGGCTCTTTACGTTTTACTGGTGTTGTGTTGCTCTTGGTGGTATTGTGTGTGTTCTTAACTTTTCTACAAATTTATAAACTGATAAAAATAAAGTGATATACTTTGAAATATATGCACATAGTTTAAAAAAATGTAGGTAGGCTGACACAACTTAGCAGGTAAGAGGTTGTTGTCAAGCCTGGCAAACAAAGTTTCGTATCTGAAACCTATATGATAGGAGAAAACTAAGTCCCACAATTGACTTCTGATGTGAGTGTGTGTGTGTGTGTGTGTGTGTGTGTGTGTGTGTGTGTACACGTACAGGAAGAGTAGGTGGTCAAGTCCAGTCTTCGTTGCATACTGATTTTTCAGGCCAGCATCAAACTGTCTCAAAAAGGGAGTAGGCATGAAAGAAAGAAGACAAATTCCGAATGCTGCTATTTTAGGAACTTGGTGGGGGTACAGTGAAATGACTACATGTAAGCTGTTCAGTGATAACTATGATAGTCTTCTCCTACACACTTGTCTTTAATGGATGCCTGAACTGCAAGCCATACTGAATGCATATGGTAAAGTCTTATTTATGAATTAGGCACAGCGAGAGAATAACAATGATAAACTCATTAGAATGACCTACTGTATTACAAGTTATGTAGATGTGGCCTCTTTCTCAACATTACTATACTTCTCATTGAAAGGGAACACTTTACATCTTTTTTTTTTGTCAACATCGCTTTGTACTTTAGAGCCATTATTAAGTAAAAATAAACATTACTAGAGCACAAGCACTTTAAGAGCAAGTCAGTGCACTTGATCCCTGAGGCTGCTGCTGCATGACCTGAATGCAGACAGCAGACACAAATAATAGACAAACAATAATTCACAGTCAGCTGGAGAGAGGAAGGGGTGTGAGATTTTATCACTCTCTTTAGAAAAGTTATGAGTTGTTTATTTCTGGGTTTTCCATTTGATGTTTTCATACTACAGGTAGCTGAAACTATGAAAAGCAGAACTATGGGTAAGAGATAGATGTCTGTTTTGCTGTTTATCTGGAAAATACACATAGGGTCTAGTCTTTCTGTAAACAAAACATTTCACAATTCTCAGTTCTGACATTTGAAGACAATTGTTTGCGGTTAAGGACTATTATTATTTCCTACTTTGTGTAATTATCTTTACATAATTTCTTATCTTTTCTAAAAGTAGATGGGAATTGTTAAAATTTAAACTATGACCTTAATTTTTTTCTGCTGTTAATGTTGTTAAGTAAATTAAATTCACATGCTCATATAGTTAATAGTGTATGCAGAAATTAGTGTATATGTTTTATAAATCTAAACGTGAAATAATCAAGAGTTTATAAAGATAGAATAATCATATGACTTTGATGTAGACAGAGTCTTAGACAGGGCACAAAACACTCCATACTTGTAAGAAATAAGATCACATTTATTGTTGGTTAGTGGTGGCACAAACCTTTCATTCCAGCACTCAGGAGACAGAGGCAGGTGGATCTCCCAAGTTCAAGCCAGCCTGGTTTTTTTGAGTGAATTCCCGGACAACCAAGGCTACACAGAGAAACCCTCTCTCAAAAACCACATGTAAACAAAAACAAAGAAAACTGTGCTTATTAAGATCCACTCAATTTAAATATTCCCTATCAAAACATCATAAAGTATGTATGTCCTTGTGTTTTCACAAAGTAGGATATGCAGTTAGGAAAATTACAACATTATAATCATACCATCAGCATGCATGAATCTTAGAAAATGCCAAATAATTATATGCTTTATGATTCTATTTGCAAAGTCAACAGGCAGAATATCAAGTTTGGAAAAACAAAATGATAGAATACTTTTTATCTGCAAAGGGATAGAGAGGCAGGTTTTGAGGTGCTGACAGTGTTCTGTTTATTAATTGACACGCTAACAAGATGCATTGACTTGAAGCAGATTTTTCAAGTTCCACATTTATTGTATATCTTCGTGTATTTTGCATTTCTGTAAATGATTTACAAAAAATGTTTAGCTGTAAAGGGAAATACATAGTTTCCTTTTGTGTAGGGAGAGGAGGGTTTGACTGTTAATATATACTTTTGCTTGTGTGTATGTAGATTCTTTCTAGGGTATGTAAGAAACTGATATGGTTGTTTGCTATGAATGGTGCAATACAAGATGCCTGGGAGACTTTTGAGATCTGTGTAGGGAAGGCAACAAATTCTGATAACAAATGCACCTTGCTCTTCTTGTGTTAGAACACATGTTTACTCAGTTTTAGAAAGGTTTACACTAACTGAATGGATAGAATGGAATTAACTCTTATCAGTGGTGCCCAGAGAGCTGAGGGTTACATATATTCACCTGACATTTGCAGATGTGACTATATTCCAGGGAGTTCCTCTCATTAGAGCAAGGATCGACTTGAGCCCTTGGGTGTATATACATATGTAATGCAGGCAGACACATGCAACCGTCCTTTTCTTGAGCCCTTGGGTGTGTATGTATGTGTATATATATATATATATATATATATATATATATATATATATGTAATGCAGGCACACACATGCAAACGTCCTTTTCTTGCTGTTGAGTAGCAGATGTGGTTTGGTACCAGGCACTCACTTCAAGGAGTCCACAAACAGCTCTGGTGTGCTTACCATAGGCCTGTCTCTCCAAACAGCTCTCAGTTTTAGCACAAAAATTGGTTTGTATAGGAGTGAATGAATGACAGAATCCCTTCCTCAACCTACTGCTTCTGAACAGATAGGTCATCAGCATGATGAACACTATTATAAACTTCTGTGATCAGTGCTCTGTGCTTACCTGTGAGATTACTGTTTGTTAATAACAGGCTTTCCTCTGTATAGTTTTTATTTAAGTAATTCAAATTTGAATAACCAGAATGAATGAAAATAGCTTATGAGATATAGACCTTTCCTCTCTGTGTTTCTTTTCCCTGTATTTTAGCATTCTGTATTTTTGTTGGCCTTGCACATGGTTTTTATTTGTTTCAGATTTGTTTCTATCAAGGCTTCTTTTTGCCCAGATCTTTTTAAAGCATTGTGCCTCTTTTATCTGATATATTTTTATCTGATAAATATCTGGTATATGATATATTTTTGGATATAAAAAAGGAACTCTTTAATGCTGTTAACAATAGAACTTAATTCCGATGTATAAAACTACTCTCTGTGTATGCTGCATCTAGTACTCAAGTTTGGCCTTTATTTCATAAGATCCTTCTATAAGTAATTGATATTTTGTGCATTGGTGTTTGTGTGTTGGGGGCTAGTGTATGTGTGATAGAGGGAGTGCACACAGGGCATCTTTGCAGGTCAGAAGACAACTTTGTGGAGTTAGTTCTCTCCTTTCACCTTTATGTGGATTCAAGGGATTGAACTCAGGTCGTCTGGGCATCATTAGAGTTGTGCAATAAGTACTTTACCAGCTGAACCACTTTGCTGGGTCTATTTTCTCTCCCTCCCCCCACCCCTGCCCGTTTCTCACTACATATTCTCTCTCTCTCTTTCTCTCTCTCTCTCTCTCTCTCTCTCTCTCTCTCTCTCTCTGTCTCTGTCTCTCTGTCTCTCTCTCTATCGTGTGGGGTGGATATGTGTTGTTGTTTGCTGATTTGCTGGGGAACAACCTGAGAATTTTGAATACACTCCCTACCTCGGAGATAAATCTCTGTTCCCGTTTATTCTTGATGTATATATACATGATCAGAAAGAGTTTAGAAATTTCAAAAGGATCATGTATCTTCCATTTTATCAGCCCAGGAGTTGCCCATGGCCCAGCGACACTCTCTGTATTTGACAATAGTGTTTTTACTTTTCCCTTTTTGTACGTATCATAGGTGGAAGAACTGTTGATGGCCATGGAGAAGGTGAAGCAGGAACTGGAGTCCATGAAAGCTAAACTGTCCTCCACTCAACAGTCCCTAGCAGAGAAGGAGACACACCTCACCAATCTCCGGGCAGAGAGGAGGAAGCACTTAGAGGAAGTTCTGGAGATGAAGTAAGTCTGCATCTTTGTGCTTTGGGCTCCACTTAGTTGAAAAGCTTCTGCTCATTTGTTTCTCCATCTTTGTGCATTGCCCTATTACAGGGAGCCTAATTATCTTGCCAGCTGATTTCTTCTACTTTCTAGAACAAATTTTGTCAAGCATGGCACAAAGGAAAATTCAGGTCAGCTGGGGAAGAGGCCATGCTTCTCACATCTTATTACCAACCTATATCTTAGAAATGTTATAAAGTTCTTCTAGATGGGCAAAGTAGCCTCCCCCATAAGGTACTTTGTGAAACCTAATGACCTGAGTTCATTCCTTAGGCCCATGTAAATGTGGAGGGAGAACCAGTTTCATAAAGTTGTCTCCCTACTTTTCATGCATATGCTTTGGCTCTCACACATACACACACAATGTAAATTTTTTTTATTAAGGAAAACACTTGTTCTAAGCTGTAGTAATACAGGTGGCGGGCCTGCTTTTCATCCCGCCCGGCTCCCGCACAGCTAGCTTTACACCAGAAATAACAACACACAAATTGTATTCATTTAAACACTGCTTGGCCCTTTAGCTCTAGCCCTTACAGGCTAATTCTCACATCCCGATCAACCCATCTCTAATAATCTGTGAGCACCGGTCTTACCGGGAAAGGTTCAGCATGTATAACCTGGCGGCTTGCTTCATCACGTGCGTCTGCCCGGGAGAGCGGAGCATGGTGTCTCTCTGAGGCATCTGCTCCCGAGAGGAGAGCTGTGGAGTCTGAGCTCACTTCCTCTTCCTCCCAGCGTTCTGTTCTGTTTACTCCACCTACCTATGATCTAACCAATAAAATGGGCCAAGGCAGTTCCTTTATTAGCCAATGACCTTCCTCCATCACTAAGCATTTTCAAATGTATATAAAAGTAGGATAGTATAATGAATTTCCATAGATTTGCCACTGAGTTTTGATAATTCATATTTTGTCACATCAGACACCAGTTTCTGTAAAATTGTCAATTTCAGCAAAGCACCACTATAATTTATGCCATTTTTCTTCTTACCTCACATCATGTAGGTTCTTGAGATTGAAATCTCTAACTGCTAATATATTTAGATTGTTCTCTTTATACTCTGTGAACTTTTGTTAAAACAAATATGTCTCTTATGTCTCTTGATCACAGTGCTGGTACTGTTTTAATTACAATTAGCAGCTATCACTCACACATACAGCTTCTGCTGTTCTTTCAGACCCAAGTTTCTGGTGCTGTTTGCACACTGCACAAGATGTCACACCAAGCAATCTGTATTTGTCTGGGCTTCTTAACCTCTATCATCTTACTTATAGTAATATCTGTCATCTGATATTACTCTTATTTTCTCTTGCTTGATCATCCCACGATCGTCTTCTCTACTTCATTACACAGTCTCTCTTAGCTAAAATAATTTTTCCCTCAACGACTAGTAGTTTAAGATGTTAATGTCTCTTTTCTGTTGCTTTGAACTGTGATACATTGCAAATACCTGGATAAATGCAGTAGCTGAGGATCTTGCCAGGATCCCTGTAGAAACAGACAGGCCTTGAGAAAGCAACACTATGAGTTTTGTTTTGTACCTCTTAAGCAACAGTTGATCCATTTTCTTATCAGAACCTTCCCACTCAGCTCAGATGGCAACTTCCAGAAAAACAGAAGTTTGTTTGCTGCTAGAATTTCCTTTTATTATTTAAACTTTGAGACTGTATGAACAATGTGTGTGGATTTTTTTTTATGCTTGAATGAAAGGTAATTGTGAGGGGTTTGTTTTATAGTAACACAGTACCAAAATTCATTGTAAACTTTCCTCACCTAGGAAAATAAATACCATGATTTACAAAACTTATCAATAAGATCTTAAGTCTCACATAATAAACAAAGTAAAGAATATAGAGGTATGTGTCAACAGTATAGAAATTTAAATACTTGAAATAAAACACTAAACCTTTGCTTTATAGGGATGACCCATTTCTTATATCACTTTCTTAGTTCCCATGTTATATTACAGTGACATAGTGATTTTTTAAAAAAGATTTATTTATATTTTTATTTTATGAGTATTGCCCTACATGTGTATCTGGTGTGAAGGCCAGAAGAGGGTATTTTGTAACTAGAGTTACAAATGGTTTTGAGCTACCGTAATGTGTGTGCTGAGAATCAAATCTGGGTACCCTCAAGGAGAATCTAGTGCTCTTAACTGCTGACCTTTTTGTAGCTCTCGTCATGATGTTTTGACTTAGATATTTTATAAACTTTGTGTCATGGACACTACCTTCTGAAGAGCTTTAACAGTGGTTCAGGCTTTCTGTTACACATAAATTTCCTGCTATCTTCTATAGTCTTCACCTAAATTGTTCTAGTGTTAATAAAAACTCAGAGTTAGAAAATGAACTAAAAAACTAATAAATCTAAGGAACAGTGGAGGGGTGATCAGCTGACCCTACTCTCTATATTTTTCTCTTCACAAAACCGTGGAAATCTTCCCCTCAGCCCCTCTTTCTGTCTTTCTTTTCCTTTCTATTCAGCATCCACAGTCTCCAACAACTCTATGGCTAATCCTGGTCAGCCGTTGCTGACGCTGTCCTTGATTCAAGGTGGTATTGTTGTCACAGCTGGGTTGCAGTGCAACAATTCTTATGAAACATTTCTCTTTTTTTGTCTAAAAACAGAAGAGTTTTAACTCTAACATCGTTAAACTATACAGTAGCAACAATTATTAAGTAGGAATTACATTCTCAATGTCCAGTCCATTAGTATTTTCAAATTCAAATACTCCATTGTCTGTCCTATTTTGGTGAGTTCAGAGTTTTGTACTTTATTTACTTTCTATTAAAACTATGGAAAACTGTAACTATCTGTAACTATCCATCAGAGACCCAAGAACAATATAGAATTATTTGATTAAACAGGAAGTACAGAGGAAACAACTTCCAAAAGTAAGAAACAATAGAGACTTCTGACTGCCTAAACAATCACCCCAAGTTTGCTGTGCAACCTTGGTGCATCCATCTTTGGTCTACAGAACTAGAATATTTGACAGACTTTTCTTATGAAGCAGGAATTTTGAAGGACTGTCCTACTTTGTCTTGGCAACATTTGGCAGTTGCTTTCTTTTGCATCCTGTTTGTCCAGTTTGGATAGCAAACTGTCAGCAGTTGAGGCAAGGACAGTTCCTTTGCCCAGTTACTAACTTGCCACAAATGAAAACGAATTCCATATGGAAATCCTTTGATGCCCATCATTCTCTTTTGAAGTAAATTGGTGCTGTCAGGAGCAGATGTCTCACTGTCATGAAAAGCCGTATGTTATTTTTTTAATATTTATTTATTATGTATATAATATTCTGTCTATGTGTATGCCTGCAGGCTAGAAGAGGGCACCAGACCCCATGACAGATGGTTGTGAGCCACCATGTGGTTGCTGGGAATTGAACTTAGGACCTTTGGAAGAGCAAGCAATGCTCCTAACCTCTGAGCTATCTCTCCAGCCCCAAAGCCATATATTATTAAAATATTTTAAACTCAATATTTCGTAGGCCATCTGTTTGAAGACCATCTGTCTATTTTAAATATGTCTATGCTTGGCCTTGGAAACATATCCAACATGACTATAAGTATGGTTATTATAATGAATAACTAACTACTAACTGATGTGGGAGAGTCTTCTGTTTTGTGTTGAATTCATTGGTTAAATAAAGAAACTGCCTTGGCCCTTTAATAGGATAGAAAATTAGATAGGCGGAGTAAACAGAACAGGATGCTGGGAAGAAGGCAGTGAGGTCAGTCGCCATGACTCTCCTCTCTGAGGTGGATGCCCATTAAACTCGTCCTGGTAAGCCACACTCAAGTGGCAATACAGATATTAGAAATGGGTTAGATCAATATGTAAGAGCTAGCCAATAAGAGGTTATAACTAATGGGCCCAGCAGTGTTTAAAAGAATACAGTTTCCGTGTAATTATTTCAGGTAAAGCTAGCTGATGGCCAGGAGCTGGGTGGCAGGAAGCGGCCCGCCACTCCTTACAACAACTAAATTGTATTTTTTTTTATTTTCCTAAATAGCTTTCAAGGACTTACTTTATACTATATTTTTAAATGCGCTGCATAGTTACAATACCTTAAACAAAAAATAGAGAGCATATAGTATAGCAAAAATAAATATAAAATAAATATACAAAAATACCTTAAACAAGAGTAGAAACATTTATACAATATAAGAAAATAACCTTAAACTTGTATCAATACACAAAAATACATACCAATGTGAAATATTTGTGACTATTAGTTGCTTTTTTAGTTTGAAAGTAGATTCAATATCTACCCTTTTATCTTTTCATTTCTATATCCTCACCCTTTTCTTTTTAGAATGAAATCCCTGAATCCAATTTCCTTTTAGTTTCCTCCCTGACTGTGATCAATAGCAACTTGTAACCAATCCCCCTAAATGATGGCAAACATTCATCGAACAAACAAAAACCACCCACCCCACTTCTTGGAAATGTGAACATTATGTTCTTAAATTTACTTTCTGCTCTGGAGGTGATGGCATCTTTAGGGGATGCTGAAAAAACTGAGGTAAAGATAAAGCCCTGGGAGAGCTGGCTGTTGTCCATTGTGATAGGAAAAGTTCAAGTCTTATCTGAAGTTCTGACTGGAGTAGTCTGTGATGTTAGATGATCTTAGCTAGGTGCCTTCAAACTGTTCTGAGCAGTTTATAGTCCAAAGCTGATCTTTGGGTGGAGTTTGTCAGCTTAGTGACATTGTCACATCCAGGTGGAATCATCATAGGGCTCCATCATTCTTCTGGAGATTTCAATTTTTGGCTCTTAGGAATGGTCACAGCTCACTGCAAAAAACTTAAACTTTTTAAATGTCTTATGTAGCAAGTCTCAGAGACGTTAAAAGATAACAATCTGTTAAGTATACCCAAAATACACAAAATTAGCTCCTAATTATCTGCTTCATACTCAAGCCGGAAATCATATATAGGAAACTAGATGAA